AGCAAGCAAGCAAGCAAGCACACAAATAAGCAGCATCACACATTCACATACACGCACACACACACACACACACACAAACACAAGCATCCACACAAACAGGCAACCCCACAAACATATATATATATATATACATGCACAGCTACATCCCTGCAAGCATGCAGGCATGTGTATACATCACATACATGTTTACATACGTACATGCATGCATACATACATCGAGACATATACACACATTCATTTTTAGTATATGTGTCGCTATGCCGTATGTGTCTATCATGCAGCATCTATATAAAGCCATATCCTTGTATCCGAACATGTCTCCTCTTTGCCTACACCTGCCATCTGTTATCTGCTTACCTGCCTCCAGAATGCATTTGCATGCATGGCATCCTGATGAGTCAGGGTGGCCATGGGCTCATGCACCCCGACCGCCCGCACAAAACCACTGCAATTCAGTCATGGCCGGACACTGATTGAGGAAGTTAGATTCGATGGGAAACTCCCTAAATTGGGGTCCGTTCCCCGGATGCCTGAAAAGTACGCCGTTCTTGTAGTGGGGGTGTACTTTCTGCATCTCTCAAGATCCCTCAGCTGAGGCGTTCTCGGTGAATCAGCATGCTGGCATTTGTGACAGAGCGCCGTCCCATGACTCCCTGGGCCGCCAGATCACGGCATGCCCCTGCAAGACACCGAAGTTTCTTACGGGCGAGCACTGTGAGATGAACAAGCTGCCTGATCTGCTTCAGCATGTTTGCTTTTCCACAGTAGGAAGCCAGGAAAGGTAATCTGAGGGGTTCGTTTTTTTTCAGTCGGTCTCTGGTCTGCAGCTCCATAGCACGAAGCAGATTGCCGATTTAGCAGATACTCTGCTCCAACAAGTAGCATGGCATGACATGCGTACATGAACATCATACGTTCGAACGTCGCAATTGAGTCATAGGATACCCGCGCATTCCCTTGATGTGGTGGTTCTGAATCACCCCAAAGCTTGGCACCGACTGTATATGGTGAGTTCTCTAAATTAGGGTCCCTTTTAGGTCCTTCTCATAAGGGTGCCGTATCATTGTGGTGACTTAAACAGGGACCCTAATTTAGAGAACCATCCATATGTTCCCCTGCGGTGCCGGGTTTCAGTCGCGTTCGATTTCGCTGATGCGATGTCGCAAAGCGGGGCAGTTTCCGGCAAGGTCGCATCAACTAGCTTTGCATGGGGTTCCTGTGACGAGGCATATGCTGTGTACAGCAAGGCCCGAAGAATTTGTCATTCGTATTCGCGCTTGTTCTGTCATGATTGTCGATTGTATTTTTTCATTTGGTCAATGAAACAGGCATTTGTGGGGAGAGTCGTGAGTGGTGCTCGTCGTCTTAGTTTTCTCTGGCGAGGTGAACTGGGGATCCGTTCTCGTGCGTCATTCACTCAGCTTTGCGGGTTCGGTTCCGGCCCCTCTTGACTAGGGTTTAGAGTTTAGAGTTTAGGGCTTACATAGGGTTCAGGTTTTAGAGTTTAGAGTCTAGAGTTTAGGGTTAATGGCTCAGGTTCCGGTTGCGATTGTACGGTCTAACTGTCTGGAGCATTCTGGAGCTGGGCATGCACAGACACGCGCGCGCGTGCCTTCATTAGTGGATGTCAATCCGAATTGAGTTTAGACAAGTGGTACTTTTGAAGAACAGACATACGCATGTGCAAGCCTGAAGCCAGTATCCTTAGCTACAAGTATTTGCTAACGGCATCAATACACAGAGCCCAAGAGCCTTGCAAGGTCGAGTTTCTACCTGGCACGGGTGTGTATAGAAGTTTTGCTATCTAAAACCCCGTAGGCATCTATCATAGGACTGAGATGTCTGTGTTTATGCCGCGCCGAAGCGACTCGTGCATCGCCGAGTCTGATCGTAGCTCAGAAACAGGTTCGATGACATGATCAACTACCTGCGGCAAAGCAATGCAGCAGCTCGCAAGAGAGGCGATGAGACCCAACGCTTCGGTCAGGTTGTGGCCATTGACATGGGGTTCGAGCTGTTCTCAAGGCACGCACTTTTTTCATGCTGTGTCGCACATTTTCATGGTATGTCAGGGCATCTGACCGTGCCTACTTTCAATGTCAGCCTCAAAATGAGCTGTGTTCAAGGATTTGGTGTGTGGCAGAGCTTGTGGAAGCGGAGAAGCTGCATCTGCCACAAGCCTTGAAAATGCATTCCCAAAGCTCACGGGAACAGTGCCGCTTGGAAGTTTGAGACCCCGAACGCAAAGTGTACGGGCAGGTGAGATTGGGCGGTTGTGGTGGGGAGGCATTCTGGTGCAAGGGGGGTATCGATGTAAGAGAGAAGGCAATAGCCCGGTACAGTCGGAGTTTCGTAGAGTCGTAGAGCCTAGGCGAGTTGTTCACAGCATTCTCCTTAAGTTTCGTTCAGGCTCAGCTAGGCTCTATTGCTTTCCCGGTGAAATTCCCGAGCAAGGCGTGCTGAAGCTGCACGAACTCGACGTCCGCTCGGCACAAGCCAGCTTTGAAGCAGACCGCCAACTGGTGCCATGACGAGCGAGGAAATTGAAAGTTGGAGTCGGGTGAGGTTCATAAAGGGATCTCGGCCTTTTAGCTATTGCTACTGGTGGTGTCAGGGTGTTACTCTACAGATATAGCTCATTTGCATCTAAGAGTCTAGGTAAGCCGCCGCTCTTTCTCCGCCTTCGACCTAAGTCAAGAAGTACGGCTTCGACAGCATGGGAAGGGTTTCGCTGATGGGGCTTCCAGGGGCTTTTGCAGACTCTTGCACGGTGCAACGAGGAATTTCTCCTGGCTGATCCCAGGTCTTGGACAAGATCCAAGATGTCGACCTATTCAATGACAAGTTGCGTGACCTTTTGCTGACGCGGCTCAATGGTTTTTTGGTCGCAGAGCTCCTAGTCGGCCTTGTGAGTGTTGAGGAATTGCTGGCCACCGTCCTCGACACGATCTAGATAAGTCGCTTTTGAGCGGTTGGCGAGTGTCAATGAGTGTCATATGCCCTTTGCACAGGCCGATAGCTTGAACCACCTGTCCTTGCTAAGCACAGGCTTTTTGCCCTCAAAGAGGGCCCGGCTCAAGCTGTTGCAAATTAATTCACAGTGAAGGCGCTTTGCATGCGGCCAAACTTGGCCGAAACGTGGCTTTTTCTTTCCCCTTTCAGGTCTCCCCTGTCGTATATTACGAGTTTGGGAGAACCGAGCAATGCGCTGGTGCGGTGGTTGTGTACGACCGCGTGCTTGCGTGCGCTGCTCGCAGTCGCAGTCTTCGAGCATGTGAAGTGCGGAGTCTGGCGTAGCTCCTGGGAAAAGGGATCAAAACCACGTGCAACGCACGGGAAGCTAGCCCGATGACCATACTTTCGGATCTCTTGCGTGGTGCTCACGCAGTCGCAAAGCTTTTCTAAGCCGCAGCGTAGTTTGAGCAACAGTTTGAGCACCTTGTGATGCAACCTGAGTACTGCGAGGCCCGGTGCGATCCAGGCCAGAGGGAACTTTATCCGTGATACCCATACATTGGGTGGTTGTCAAAATTATGGTCCCTTTTTGGGTCCTTATTATTATACGGCACCTATTATTTAGGGTACCCCAAAAGGGACCCTCATTTTGACAACTACCTACATATTGGCGGCCATGAGTGGCTTTGATGCAGGGAAAGCAGAAGCAGCATAGTCATGTCACAAGTGGTCCTTGCGAGCTGCCGCCTGTGAGTGGCAGCCGTACCAGCAGCTCTAGCGTGGTCGTCGTTTTGACGGCGGTCGCAGTGGTCGAACCATGCTCGCTTAGGATGGTCCCCGAAGCAACTATACTATACTAAGAAGGTCTTCTACTCCAGCCCATTATGTTTCGGAGCTATGTCGGCATGACACAACCGGAGCACCGAGGTCCTAAATCGAAAGTCACTTGATCCATTGGTAGGGTTGGAACAGAAGTGCAACCAGCGGAAACTATACTGCATTACTTGGGTGGGTCCAGAGCTACTTCAGCGTCTTGGCGTGCGAGCAATGCAGGGTCCAATGTGCAGGTGCCCTATTCGAAAGCCGCCTAATTAAGTGGCCCAAGGGCTGCTAGCACGAATACTTGCGGCTTTAGTTGGCCTACCTTTCCAACGCTGTGCCCCCAAAGTCTAATCCCCAACGGCCTGGAAGATGCCTTGAGCTTAGGCGCCAAACTTGACAGTCAAGCCAATCCGTTTGCTCGCTGTTTGGGGTGTAGGGTGTGAGTCCAGTGGCGACCGAACAGGGTTTAGGGTTTGAGGAGTCTCGGCAGTTGGGTAGCAATGCACGGCTTGACCCGCAGCTTGAAACCTTGGACGATCGGGTGAGGACCAGTTTTCTGATCCTCGCACCTTGTACCTCTGCTAACAATCGGTGTGTCACGTACAGGTGTGTAGGGACTAATGTAGGGGCCTAAATAATTACCAATACTATTTTGGGGGTTCCTTATTATAATTATAGTATACAGGGCCCCCAAACCCGATTCTAACTATTAAGGCCCCTATATTATTGCGTTCCCGTGTGTCGGTGGGATGCAGGTCTCTGCAGCCCAGTCTCCAGCAAGAGAAGGCCCATAGCTTGCATCAGCCAAGGCAACGGTAGCCATAGTGGATGCATACGGTTTAGGGCTTTTGGGGTTATCGGGTTTAGGGTTTAGGGATACTTAGATGAATTCGGATGCTGCTGCTGCTGCAAAGCACACTCAGGGGACATGCACGGATCTGAAGCACCATGCTTTCCACTTCTGAGGGCACAACTGGACTTTCCGTTGCCAGGCTTCCGTTTTCAGCCCCATGGTTCTATTTTGGGAATGCTGGAGGGTCGATTAGAGCTTCGTTTGGAAGTTCCCTCAGTGAACCCCTAGCTGCCCACATCTGTTCTGGGCTTCCTGGTGCGAGAACAGCTTGCCAGTGGTCGGCATGAAACTTCCGCATAGCAGTTGGAACTAAACCCTATAAGGTCTAAACCCTCGACCCCAGCGAAGCGGGTGGAAAAAACCCTAAACCCTAAACCACAGACACCTTATGTGTACACCGCCTTGAACTGCCTCGTTTTCAGACGTCATCCTCAGAGCCCCAAGGCCGATGTCGTCCTGTAGTCGCACGTGGGCCCCGAAGGGCAGTGTCATGCTAAGCCTTGTGAGCATCTCCTGTGGGGTTTATGTAAGTCACGGGAGTGTGTGTTTGCTGGACGACGAGGCCTGTTGCAAAAGAGTTTAGGATAGTCTAGGCTCTTTCTTGAATTGGCATCTCCACTCTGATTCTGCACGTCCTTGGAAGAGTCTGTTTTCCTCTGGCTTGATCCTCGAGGATGATTTGCTGTCTGCAGTTCATGTCGAGCTGCTCAGGATTGCTTGTATGTTGTTCTACTTTTCTTTGGTCCCTGCAGTGCGTCTTGGCCAGAACCCGAAACCCTAAACTCTAAAGTCCCAAACACCAAAGTGTATCCGAAACCTTCAGACGATTGCAGTAGCCCGTATCGCAACAGTTCTGGAAACCCTTTCGAAACCCTGAAGCCGTCAAGCGCTCCTTGTCGCGACCAGGGCGACAGCCGCATTCACAGCCGCGATGTCCGTGTCCGCACCTTGAGACTTCACTCAGGAGCCCTAGGAGGGCTTCAGGGTTTAGGAAAGTTTTAGGGTTTAGGCTTTAGGATTTAGGAAAGATTGGGGTTTAGGGTTTAGGCTTCAGGGTTTAGGAAAGGTTTTGGTTTAGGGTTTAGGCTTCAGGGTTTAGGAAGGTTTAGGGTTTAGAGGTTTAGAGCACTGTGTATGGCTTGGGGTTTGATAAAGGACGGACCACTGAAGAATCTAGAAGGGTCCACCAGGTCTTCATAACGTATACAGGGGCCGTGACCACTGGAGTAGGTGAGTAGGGTTGGGGGGTAGAGTATGTGCAATACTTCTATAATTAGATTAAGGTGGACCAGAAGCTAGACAGGATCTCCTGAGCACCTTGTAACACAGCCTTACGACCCTTCTTGGTCGAGCAAAGTTGGGGGGATGTTGCCAGAACTTCGCTATAGGGTCAAGGGTCTAGAGTTGAGTTGACTCTTGGCTTGAAGCTACCATGTTGAACACTCCATCCTTGCCTTATGCGGTTTGTGTGCAGGTGCTTCTGGTGGTCCTACAAACTCGCTACAATCCAATGGCTTGCTGTTATGAGGGGTGTTCACCAGGGTTTGTCACTGCGACGCACATGTTCAAGCCGTGCTGGCCTCAGCCTACTTACATTCTGAGCCCGCAAACCTAGCTTGCAAGCCCGAGAAAGGATCGGAAATCTCAGCGCACCAACCACTTTCAGTTCATGCTCCCGCAGTCTGGAGTTCGCTGTACCCTCTTCGAAACTCTCGGCCTTTGCCCGGGACGGAGTCACAACAGCCAAGCGTGTAGGGTTTGCACGGCACTTGCTGGCAGTTCAGGGTTTCTTCTTCTAGGCAGGTGTGTACTGCAACAGTAAACTCGACTCAACAGACATAGCCTAGCAGCTGGTAAGACGCCCGCTGGCCCTGCTCGTTCGCAAATTGACGCATGTTCCAAGTCTAGGATCCTTTTCCTAACAACTACCCATAGGCCCCACAGTAGGTCCTTTTTAGGGTTCATATTTAGAATCCTATAAGGTAATCCCCAAAAAGGAACTACTGTGGGGCCTACGGGTAATTTTTAAACTCTTCACTTTCGAGGCTTCAAGGCATGTCTCGCCCACCGCTGCGCCGAAAGCTCGCAGTGCGGCGCCGGCACCTGCTCTGCCCTCAACGGTTCTGCAAACTTTCGAGTTTATGAGCGTATTTTTGGCTGGAGAGGTCAGGTGTTCAGAGCTGAAATGAAAGAGGTTCCTTCGCTTTTGGGTCTGCTTCTGGGTTAAAGTTTTTGGATGTAGCATGTAGGGCTTTCGTGGGAATCAACTGACAGGACAGTCGTAGATATGGGGGTTCCGAAAATAGGGGACCCTAATATAGTACCCCAAATAATAGGATCCTTATTATAAGGACCCCAAAATAAGGTACCCCAATTTCAGGACAATCCCATATACCGTGGCGGCAGGTCGCTTGACGGTAGAGTCGAGCCTCGTTCAAGACTCTACAGAGAATCTCAGGCTTAGGGGCTCAGTAGGTAACCTTTAACCGACTTTAACCTTTTGGGGCTATAGAGCCCTATGATAATTCAAAAGGTTAACGTTTTTGGGCTGGGGTACTCAGCCTCTAAGCGACGGTTTAGGGCAGCGCGCTCGGCTGTTGAGTCTGTTCGGCATGGCCGGGATCACAAGGTCTTTAGGGTGAAAGCCTTCGGTGACAACTGGCACTCAAACCCCAGGCCTCTGCCTGCTTACAGCTTCTGGTTCGTTGCTGGTGAAACACATACACTAACATACCCCAACAGAGTTGCATTGGTCGGAACTTCACCTAAGCAACCCTTATCGCCCTGAGACCTTGCGCTACACGTCTGGCGCCCCTTAACGACCTCACCCTTACACCTACCTGATTGTTGCAGCTCAGAGCTCAGCGCTCCCCAAATTGTGTGAGTCACATTGATGCGTTCCATTCACGGCAAGCGATTGGTGCCCTAAAGCTTGCCTTGAATGGGACGCACCAATGTGACTCACACAATTCTTGGGGAGCTCTGAGCTCCAACAGACAGAGAACCGATTGCCCAAATTGGGACAGCTTGTCTTGGGTAGATTTTGCTTGGTGACCTACTCGCTCGCTCTGTGGGAATCCTCCTTTTTTGATTTAGTGCTTAGAGGATTGAGGGGGAGACTTTGCTTTGCACCTAGTCCAAGCTGCTATAATTAATCTATGCTGCAAGCCACTCCTTTTCTACCCAGCAAACCTCGTTTGCGAGCATTGATCTCAGCCATGCGAGAGGGAAAAAACACCAACTTACACACTTGAGTGTGTACCCTCAGGCCCCATAGTAGTTCCGTTTTGGGGTTCATATTTAGAATCCTATAAGGTAATCCC